TGCTGTCAACAGGCCAGGCCAGAGTGGGACTCCCCTGGCCGGCTCCCCGCTGGAGAGCCCCTGGTGACTGCTACCTCCTTGGCTTGAGAGCCTCAGCCCCAAGTGGCAGGCTGCTATTGTCTCATCTAGAGGCAGAGGCTTGGAGAGAGGAGGTCACCACTCACAGCGACGCAGTGCAGGGCCAGGATTTAAATAGATCTGTCTGCCTCCTCCGGCCACGCCCACTCAAGTGGGATGTCATTAACTCAGGAGGAGAGAGGGGCTCCCAGGAGCCTCAGAGGACACTAGACTCCAGGGCCAGACAGGTGAGGAAGGAGAGGGGGTAGCTGGGCTGGGTGGACCGGATGCAGTTTAAACACTGCTACAGATGGTAACAATGTGTGACCAGAGTGGCCAGCCCAGGACCAAGGGCTCCGTCTTGGTAGAAGGCAGAAGAGGTTTGTAGAGACCATAGGTGTATTTTGGACGCCTCGGACATCCTCGTCATGACCTGTGTGTGATGTGTCCTTCCATCTTCTTCAGTGTGCAGGTGACAAAACAGACGCTTAGGGCCACAAGCTCCCTCTTGAGCCAGTGGGATGGGTCAGTGGGTGAAAGTACTTGCCACCAAGGCTGGTGACCTGAGTTCTGTCACCAGGACCCGCATGGTAGAAGGAGAGAGCCGACTCCCACAAGTTGTCCTCTGACCGCCACACATGCATCATACTGTGCACCTCCCCCAAACAAATGTAATTTTTTCCCCCGAAACAGGGTTTCTCTATGGCTTTGGAGGCTGTCCTGGAACTCGCTCTGTATACCAGGCTGGCCTCGAACTCACAGAGATCCGCCTGCCTCTGCCTCCCGAGTGCTGGGATAAAAGGAGTGCGCCACCACCACCTGACAACAAATGTACTTTTAAAAAATTTTAAATTAAAGAAATATTAGGCTTTTGTCTAAAGTTACAGTCCATGGAAGAAGTGTATCTGGGTATCCGGGTAGATTAACACAGTAAGAAATGTACTAGGGCCGGGCGGTGGTGGTGCACACCTTTAATCCCAGCACTCGGGAGGCAGAGGCAGGCGGATCTCTGTGTGTTCGAGCCTAGGCTGGACCGACAGCTTCCAAAATAATACAGAGAAACCCAGTCTCGTAAAACCAAAAAAAAAAAAAAAAAAATGTACTAGGTAAGGAATTCAAATGGAGTCTGACTCAATCCCCGTAGTTAAGCTCCATCCACTTCGGGACATAGACCGAGATGCTGCGGTTTGACATGTAATGGCCAGGGTAACGGTATTAAGAGACGGGTCTTTAGGGAATTATTAGGCCACCGACCATCACCTGGATGTTTACACCAAGCAGAGGTGCCCCCGCCCCGCCTTTGCTGCCCGTCCCTCTTCAGACAGGCAGACCCTGGCTCACTTACCCGCATCCTTGTGGCAACACTATCCACCCAAACCAGTGGTCTATATTCCTCCGCCCCTCTGCCGGCGCTCGTGTAAACGGTCCTTCTTCAAATACCCGCTGGCTGACTCAGCCTCCCTCTCTAACCTCCAGCCACAGCCTCACTCAGAGCTCCTCACATCCCTCCCAGGTCTCACCAAGGCCGCGCACCCCACCTCCCTCCGTGGGTTCCTCCGCGCGTGCGCACGCATCTTCAGGCTATCTCATCCAATCACCCCGGCTAAATGAAGTCTCGCTCCTCTCAAATGCCACGGGCGGTGAAGCAAGAAAGACCCTGGAAAGCACAAGTACAGACTCGCTTCTTCACTTTCAAATTACTATCCAGTTATCATTCAGATTATTTCCTTGGGAAAAAATCCCCAGGAGTGCAGGGATGGAGAAGGTGGGGTATCTCAGTAACTAACTGGTCCCACACATTCGAAGGTGACAACTTACTCCCCGCCCCCCCCACCCTCACCCCCCATTCTTCTCCAACATAAACCCTTTAAGGGTGTTTGGGAAGAATTTCAATTCGGGCTTTGCCTGTGTTGTTTCTTTTCTCTTTCCAGTAAAAGAATTACATTAATTTCAAGGCATCATCCGTCAGGGCTCCCTATTCCCGCAGGTTTGTTACGTTTTGGTTTTTCCTTTGTTTTGTTTCCATTTTGCATTTACGTTGTCCCAGGTTACAGATATTTTTTTTTTCTGATTGACAGGCATTTCACCAATTGTACAGTGTGAAAATTTCCCCAAAAGACTCAAAGAAACAGGCAGGAGCAGGCTTATGCCCTTCCTCATGTTCCAAGTGAGCCTCAAATAAATAAAACAAGAGAGTCGGGAAGGGATCGTCATCTGTGTTCATCTCCATTAGAATAACAAGCTGCTTTCTCCTTCCAATAAAGGCAACATTTTGGTACAGAAGGGCCTCTGGGTACGGAAAGGCAGAAAAAAAAACATTTTTATTGAATATAGTTCACCCCCCCCCCAGGCTCCTGGAGGAAGTGACTCATGGGGTGGTCCTTGACTCACGGGGGGGGGTCCTTGAGTGTTCTGAGCCTGGCTTCATTCCTTGTCCTCTCTCTGCTGTCCTCCAGGATGGAGGAAAGAAGTCCCAGCTGCTCCCCCTCACCTCAAGCTTTGAGCTGACAGACCCTGCCTGGGTTAGGTATCTCATTGCAACAACAAGTAATGATATACTGGATTTCAGTAGGTTTTGGCAAACTGCATTTCCCTGAAATCTTCACTTATGGAAAAACGAAGCGATTGGCATGCTCCACCTCATGAGTCTTGACCCTCCTCTCCCCTCCCTTACCCCTCTCCTCTCCCCTCTTCCCCTTCTGACCTCAAGGGGTATCAAGGGCACAGTGACTTGTGTGAAAGACTCATCTGACTCCCTGTGAGCCCCTCTGAGAGGTTTCAAAGTTGGGGCAATATAAGCCATCGTCTTCAAGTGAAACTGAGCATCTCAAGCCAGACAGATGTTTTCAGCTGCAGTACCTCTCTCAGACCTGGAGAACTCTGGAAGATGCTTTTTTTTTTTTTAGACAGAATCTCTCTCTCTCTCTCTCTCTCTCTCTCTCTCTCTCTCTCTCTCTCTCTCTCTCTCCCTCCCTCTCTTCCTCTGTCTCTCTCCCTCCTTCCCTCTCCTTTCTCTCTCTTTCTCTCTCTCACCCTGGCTGCCCCAGAACTCTCTATGTAGACCAGGCTGCCCTTGAACTCACTGAGATCTACCTGCTCTGTCTCCTGAGATTAAACGCTGGGAGTAAAGGCTTGGCGCCACCACTGCCAAGCTTGGAAGTGCTCTTTAGTGGCATTATAAACTCTCTTTACCCTCCAAGGTCCTGTCTTCTTGCCCCATCTGTACTGCAAGCAAACAACCCCACACACACACACCCATCCTGCTTTCCCTTGGCCTCTGCCCAGGAAGGGCTCCTTCTTGCCCTTGGGTCCCAAGGCCTCCACGGACACTTGCATTGACCCCATAAGACTCTCATTCCCTCACCATTCATTTGTTTTCTCCAATTTTGCATCAGTGTATCCATGACGGCTCTTGGACAGGTCAGAGCCTCTTTTGTGTGTCCTCTGGGCACTTGGCACCTCTCCTCTACAGGGGTCCTCTAGATTAATTTGTGTCTTTGTTTCTTCCTATCCCTCCAAAGAGCCTGAGGTGGGTCAGTAGCCATGATTCTGCAGTAGTTACTGCTTCGACGGTAATTAGAGCCCACCATGCATATAATCTACAGAGCTGAGATAAACTTCTGCAGGAGGAGCGAGAAGACCATACTGAAGAGCAGTGCACTCTGGGAAGAGGTCATGGCTCCCGTTCTTTGCTTCAAAGGGTGCAGGGGTGGGTAATTATGAGCACACCGGAGATGGCAGCGCAATAGAGAGAACCATGTCTGGCCAGGCCTGGTGCCTCCATCTCTCCTCTGACACCTTCTCCTAGCCAAGCTTCTAGCAGCTCTGGAGACCATTACAAAAGCCTCCAACCATTTCCCCCAGCACCTCTTTTGCAGCTATACAAGACTCTCCTTCCGCACAGCAGGTAGGGATGTATCCGAACAACATAGATGCAGCTGCCTCAAGGCCCAGTTCGCAGCTCATGAGCTTACAACGCACGCACCCTCATCACTGGAGCAGAGCCCACGCGTGCTCTGGTGGTCCTCAGCTACCTAGTCCTCACCTGCTTCTCACGCTCCGGACCTGGGCACGCTGGCTGCTGTTAGGACCCTCCGATGCTCCAAGCTTGTCCCAGGGCTGGTTCCCACTGTTGGGAAAAGGCTTCCCCAAGGTCTTGCCATGGATGCCCCTTCTTTTGAGTTTCTTTCTCCTTGTCACCCCCACTTTTAAAAGAGGCCTTCCCTAACCTAGCCTTGAACTTGCGATCCTGCCCTCTGAGCCTCCGGAGTCCCAGGGATTACAGACAAGAGCCACCCAGCACACAGCACTCATGTCCCCATTGTGTTTCCTTCCTTGTCCTGTCTCTTTCTGAGTTATTTCCTCTAAAGTGCCCTGAGACTGTGTTCCTGAGCACATGGCTTCCCTTGTCCATTGCTGAGTGCCAAGGGCCTAAGAGAGGCCCGGGAGGGGACGCACAGACACATTGGGGAGGAGTTGGGTATGCTCTGTGTGACTGTCAAGGAGAAAAGTGTGGTTTCTGGCTGTGGAGAAATCCAGAACGTAGAGCTTCAAGAGGCCTAGGTGTTGTGATTAAAAAGTGGCATGCAAGAGAAAGAGGACTTGCAACAGAGCTCACACAGAGGGTTTTTTTAGGGGGACATTAAAAGGGGGGAGGGGAAGGTCAGGACCAGATTCTGGGGACAGGAGCAGCAGAAGGAAAGAGATAAGCAGTAGGGGATGGAAGGACAGAGAGACAGAGAAGCATAGAGAGAAAGGAATAGACAGAGAGAGAGAGAGAGAGAGAGAGAGAGAGAGAGAGAGAGAGAGAGAGAGAGAGAGACGGGGGGAATTAGAGGTGGGCAGGGCCCTTTTCAAAGGGAACATAGTGAATATGCACAGGTGGTGCTCTTAGTGGCTGCAGCTAAGGATGTATCCTGTCAGAACCCCAAGGGCAGGCCAGTACAGATGCATGAGTACTAACAGTAGGGTGTGTCTAGCCTGCGAAAGCATCCTCATGGGCTTACAGACTATACTGGCATCTGGCAGTGGCTGAGAGCTGCCCTCAGCTTGGCCAGCATAACAGCCCCTGGGGTGACCCCGTGACATGACACAGTGATGGGGACTGACACGTTCAAGGGCTAATCCAATCGATCCCGATTTGCTTCTTGGCTTCCAGTGTGCTGTACATACAGATACAGAGTAGGTGGAGATGACTTAACAGCGGGACACAGCGAGAGGACAGTGGGGTGAGCCGTGAGAGGCAGTCAGCAGTGCTGTGTGGCTTTCACCCCCAACTCTGCCTTCTCCCGGCCATGCATGGGTGTCAGTAAAACACACAGCTGATAAAGGAAAACAGGCCAAGGCAGAGAGTGACTATCCTGAAACCTAGCGTGTGTGTCGTGGTTTCTGGACATTGAGGGTTTCCCCCAGAAGGCTCAGGAGAAAGGGCAGTTCAGAGGCCACCCCACAATCAGGTAGAGATCCAGTGGGTGAGATGAGTCTAAGCGTCAAGTCCAGGTGAACTCTGAGAACCAAGTCAAAGCTTGCAGAAGAGGGAGGCGGGAAGGCAGAGGCAGAAGGAGCATCACTAGGGAAGAGTAAATTCAAGGCTCAGGGAGGGCCCCACTTGGAGAGCTCTGTGGGGAGCCAGTCACAGCATGGGGTGAAGTTCCAGGGCAATGGCTTGTTTTCCACTAGGTGCCTGGTTAGAAGAGGAAGACACAGAGGACCCCACAGGCAATGGCTTGTTTTCCCTTAGGTGCCCGATTAGAAACGGAAGACACAGAGGACCCCACTATTGTCTTCAAGGGACCCAGGATGCTGATACTTCTATGGGTAGTTTCTGGCCTCCTGCTGGGAGAGGCTGAGACCAGAGACTATGGAGAGACACGGGGCTGGAGGAAGCCGCCCCACAGGGACACTGAAGAAGGCCACGGAAGAGATACAGAGACCCAGAGTTGGAGAGAACTAAGAGACCCACCAGGTCAGGCAGCTCAGAGGTCTTGGGGGGGGGCGCTATGAGACACCCTGCCTGGTCCTCAGTGAAACGCAGTTGAGGGTTTAGGGATGAGAGACATGACATCTAAAATGACATGTTTATATTCACCCTCTGTATCTACAGGGGACAGCCTCCAGGATACTAGCTACCTACAGACAAAATCCAAAGCTATCCCGTTCACTTGTATAAAGCATATAACATTTGCACATATAGCCTGTCCACGCGCCCTGGGCACTTCAAATCTGTAAAGGGTTTCTGCCACATAAAATATGAAGGCTGGGAATATTCACTGTGTTGATTAGGAGATAATGACACAGAAAGGAAGTCTATAGTGTTTAGTTTAGATATATTTTTAACTTGAATCTTTCAAATTTATTTTATGTGTATAAGTGCTCGCCTGCATGTATATCTGGGCACTACATGTGTGCAGTGCCCACAGAGACCAGATGAGGGCATCGGATTCCCTGGAACTGGAGTTACAGACAGTTGTACGCCTCCCATGTGGGTGCTGGAATTGAACCTGGATCCTCTGGAAGAGCAGTCAAGTGCTCTTAACCACTGAGCCATCTCCTCAGGCCCTAGATGCAGTCGTTAAAGAGATGCCTTTATGTATTTGTGTGTGAGTGTTTGCCTGCCTGCACATACATATGTGAGCCATGCGTTTGCAATGTGAGAGGATGCCGGAAGAGGTCAGCAGATGCCCTGGAGCTGGAGTCAAGATGATGCTACCTGCCATGTGGGCAACGGGAACTGAGCCCCAGTCCTCTGAAGAGCGCAGTGTTCCGAACTACAGGCCATCTCTCTAGCTCCACGAACCTTTTCTCTTTCTGAATGGTTCTGTAGATTAGAAGGCTCCTTGCAGAGTTGCTCCTAATGTTACAAAGCTTGTGAGAGTAAGGGAATATTGCTCTGTGTAACTGTCCTATGGCTTTCGCCTCGCCTGCTTATTAGTATGAGAGACAAAGTAACATTTTAAGTTTTAATTACTATGCCTTAGGGATCCATGAAACAAAAGTGTCTCTGATCTGCAAGCCCCTTGCTCAAGGACAGACAGCTCCTGAAATGCTGGAGGCCATTGTTCATGGGAGATAACAAGCCACGTGTTTTTCATTCTCCTCAACAAGTTTGTCTGACTCTTCTGCACCAAGTGTGCTTGGTCACACGTGGACAGGAGGGTCACAGGCCGGGTGAGTGTCAGGATGTACACTTACTGATATGGGATGTCCTTCTGTGTGCTGTGAATATGCGTTGCTTTTATTGGTTGACAAATAAAGCTGTTTCGGCCAATGGCCAGACAAAATATAGGCAGGAAATCCAAACAAAGATGCAGAGAAAAGGAAGACAGAGTCAGGGAGATGCCATGTAGCCACCGAAGGAGTAATATACAGGAGCATTACCGGTAAGCCACAGCCTCGAGGTAATGCATTGATTAATAGAAATAGGTTAAATTATGAGAGAGAGAGAGCTAGCCAGTAATATATCTGGGCCATGGGTCAAACAATTGTAATTGATATTAAGCCTCGGAGTGTTATTTCCTAAGCAGCTACGGGAACTGACAGGCAGGATAGAATCAAACTACAGCTCACCCCTGATTGGATGTAGTCTGGAGGTACATCAGGATGTATGCTTGCTCCTGATTGGGCCTGATGGGAAATACTTAAGCTGTTATAAACCCAGGGGGGGGTCATCTTCTGGAAACCTAGAGAGAGAGACAAGTTCTTCATCAGCTGCCACCAGGATCCAGCCTTTTCCTTCTCTCACTGTGAGACTCCTGGGGACTTGGGGACCATAATCTCAATAGTCTGACAGCCAACGGAGGGAGTGTCTATCTTTAGGCATCTTCATTCCTGCCCAGAGGGTTTCAATTGTGTGCTTCCCCTGCAAATCTGCCCGGGGCGAAGGCAACTGTGTTCGCTGCTAGGGTCTCTATAAGGAAAACAACAACAGCGAAAAGCTCCAGGCCGGCCTTCACCACTGCCTGAGGAGTCTTCTCTGTCCCTCCCCAGCTGAGGGGACACAAGCTTTCCCTTCAGCCGCGCACCTGAGATGGGTCTGCACCAACTTCCCCTTCACACAGGCCTCTCTTAGTCTTGCCACTTCCCTGGAATTTCCACCCTTTGTTAAGGTGACCCACAGGCCTCCTCCTCCACACACCAGGCCAGCTACGTCTTCTGAGTCCTTATTTCTTTTTAACAGAGGTCTTTGGGCACCTGCAAACAAAAATGGTGACACCAAGTGAAACGTCGGCGCCTTTTTTTCTCCTGTTAGTCTGCCTTTTGCCGATTCACCTTGACTTACCGGTGAGCTTTTTTGTCAGCCTAGCACAAGCCAGGGCCACCGAGGAAGAGGGAAATGTAACTGAGAAAAGTCCCCCTGTCCCGTCCCGTCCCCCCCCCGTCGTCAGATTGGCCTGCTGTCAAGTTTGTGGGACATTTCACTGATTGACAATATGATAGGGCCCAGCCCACTGTGGATGGTGCCACCTCTGGGCAGGTGGACCTGGGTTGTATAAGAAAGTAGGCTGAGGGGATGGAGAGATGGCTCAGGGGTTAAGAGCACCGGCTGCTCTTCCAGAGGACCAGGGTTCAATTCCCAGCAACCACACGGCAGCTCACACCTGTCTGAAACTCCATTTCCAGGGGATCTGACACCCTCACACAGACATATGTGCAAGCAAAACATTAATGAACGTAAAATGAAAATAAATTATTAAAAAAAAGCCGGACGTTGGTGGTGCACGCCTTTAATCCCAGCACTTGGGAGGCAGAGGCAGATGGATCTCTGTGAGTTCGAGGCCAGGCTGGACCGACAGCCTCCAAAACAGAGAAACCCTGTCTCGTAAAACCAAAAAAAAAAAAAAAAAAAAAAAAAAAAAAAACCAGGCTGCACATGCCTTTAATCCCTCTTGATCTCTGGGAGTTCAAGGACAGCCTGGTCTACAGAGTGGGTTCCAGGACAGCAACCCTGTCTGAGAAAGCAAAAGGAGAAAAGAAAGCAGACTGAGTAAGCCAGGCAGCAACCCAGAGAGCAGCGCTCCTCTATGGCCCAGCGTCAGCTCCCGCCTCCAGGTTCCTCTCTTGACGGCTTTCAGAGGACTGTGGCGCAGGACGAACGAGCTAAATAAGCCCTTTCCCTGCCAAGTTGCTTATGGTCATGGCCGACCAAACTAAGGCACTCGCACACCCCACCTACAGTCCATAAGAGAGCAGAGTCTTTGGCCCCACAGCATTCTCCAGTTGGAGTAGCCGTAACTGTGACATCTCATAACTCCTTAATCTCCTCAATGATAATTGGTTGTGTTGTGGCGGGGGAGGGGATCGCCACATGCTGGACCCGTTCCATCGTCTTTCTAGACTTGTCCGTGTCCTCTCCGGCACCCCCAGCAACAGCTACTTCCTGAGTCTAGAGGCAAATAGATAAGACCGAGTTCCCAACCTCAATACCTGCAGGCTGACAAGTACAAGCGTGGCCGTTTTTTCTTCTCTGGAGGGCTCTCTTCCTGCAGCTGTCATGGGCTGTGGTTCCCAGTCGCCATTGCTGATCGAAGGAGCCAGGCCTTTCTCACAGCCGCTGTAAGGCAACAATAAACTCCTTATTGATTCTGAATTTCTAACAGACTTCCCAGGAGCCCATATTCCAGGAAAATGGCGGTCGGCACTGACTTTCCACAAGGAGGCTTCCAGGCCTCGGGTTGCCAGACTCCAGACATTAAGAGGACTTCTGGTGGTGACACATTCCCCATACAACAAGGACACCTCAGCTAACCGTGCTCCTCCTCTTCCACAACCTCTGATGGCACATTGCTTCCCTGGAGTGGAACCCTCCCCTCCCCCGCCACTCAGGAATCAGGACTCCCTGGCTCCAGGCCAGTGCTGCCGACTTCTTACCAGCGCATGGCATGAAATTCCATCCTTCCGCCCATAAGACCCCTACTCTGCTTTAAGGGTTTGAACTCCTGTCAGAGGCTCTGTTATACTTACTGCTGTCTGTCTGTTTCCATGTGGTCGATAACTCTGATAAACCTCTTACCTACATGGACACCACTTCAGGGTCCCCTTGAGTTCCCCACACTGCAGAGAAGCATTCCTTGGCTCAAGGCCTCCTTCTTTAGGGTGTTTCAAAGCTGATCACCTCGTATCTGCCCAGGAAGAGAACTGTCCTCTCCCTCTAGGTTCAGTGACTTGCACACCGGACTCGGAAGAGACACATTAACGAAAGAAAAGGCATATAGATTTTGTTTGCTATGAATACATGAAGAGAGGGTTAAGGAATAAAAAGGCAAAAACCTCGTGATGGGGGAGGGAAGAGACACCAGAAAGGAAGGCAGACGGGAAATCACATGCCACAGGAGACGGGGAGATGTGGGGAGAACATCTCCGTTTCTAGAAATCAGTTCTAACGCTGGAGACTGCCGTGCTCGCCCACATTATCTCTAACGATGGAGATGTGCCGTGTTCCCCGTGACCACCAGTCCTCGTGGCATCATGAAACATGGTAGCTGGGACCCAACACTGGAGGAAGAACAGGACCCAAGTGATGGCTTTAGCTGGGCTCAGGGCTCCTCGTGTGTGAGGACAGCGTGGACAGGTCAGGATCTCTAGCATAAGGGATTTCCAAAGGTCTGGCTCCCTGGGAACTGATTAGAGAAGCTGGTCCACAAACACAGAACCCTCCAAGCAGCAGAAGTGGGTAGTGACCCTGACTGTTGCTTGGGAAGCCAAGAGTCCCCCGTCCCCCACCCCAGGTCAGGGTCTCCCATTGTGTAACCCAAACTGGCCTTGAACTCACCATCCCCCTGTCTCCGTCTCCCTAGAGCTGGGATTACAGTCACCATCTATGGCACATAGGAATTTGTCTGTTTTGAGACAAAAGTCTGTGTGTTAGCTAGTTTTGTTTTTTGGTTTTTTGTTTGTTTGTTTTTTTACAGCCTCAAGCTGGTGACAATCCTATGTTCAGTCTCCTATGTTCTTGGATTTCTGTATGTTCTACCATGCCAGCACAAGAGCAGAGATTTTCAAGGACAGATTTCTCAAAAAGCAAAGGCCCTTCCCAATGTGGATAAATGGGGGCCAAATACCAGGAAAACCCGGTGGAGCGGGCAGTGCTGAGGAGAAAAACCGTGGCGAGGCTAAGATACAAAGAACAGGAGTGCCCGAAGCTGTGGAGTCAGAGCAAGGGGAATTCCTGTCCTCTGTGACTGGGCTCTTTCCCCTGGGGCTGTCCGTAGGCAATCTTGGAAGCCTCGGATGTTCCCACAGAGGCCTGACCCACAGAGCTACGAGAAGGACAGGGCGGGACTCTGTGGGGCACAGAGTCCTTCTTGCTCAGTCTCCTGTCCCCTCACACATCTGACGTGAAGTGACAGTGTCATTAACTGCACATGACAGGTGCACAACGGCAGGGCAGGGGTTCAGGCCTCAAAGAGGAGGACTCTGTCCCTCTTGCTGGTGTCCTGGCCTGCCCATAGGTCCCAAGGGGTGGCTGACACCCAGACTGGTGAGATGCTCAGAGCCAGCACATGCCAGGCACAAGTCTGGCAGGGACAGCCAGCGGAGACTGCAGGCACCTGCCTGGGCACTGTACTGTGAGGTGCTGGTGGCCTTGGCCTGTCCCTGTACCCAGACTCCTGGGTTTTCTTTCTCTCTTTAAAACCTTGAGTTTACCTAGGTGGCACACACCTTTTATCCCAGCACTCAGGAGACAGAGGCAGGCAGATGTCTGTGAGTTCCAGGTCACCCTGGTCTACAGAGTGAGTTCCAGGACAGGCTCCAAAGCCACACAGAGAAACCCTGTGTCCAAAAAACAGACAAACAAACAAAGAAAAATAAACAAAACCCTTGTGTCTGAGGGCTGGTGTCCCAGCTCGGCTGGTAGAGTGCTTGCCTAGAACACATGAAGCTTGGAGTTCATTTCCCAGCACCACACAAACCAGGTGCAGTGGTGCACACCTGTAATCCCAGTGCTCAGGAGTTCAAGATCATCCTCAACTAAGCAGTGAGTCTCAAGTCAGCCTGGCCATTTGAAACTCCTTTCAAAACAAACCAAACACTTTGTGTTTTAAGCTAAGTATAAACCCCCAGGGAGTTCAGTCCAAGTCCTCCAACTCTGTAGAAGTACAGGGTCAGGACCAGTACCAGTGCCATCTAGATACATTGTACAGATGCATACACACCCATCCACCCTCCTAGAGACAGCTTCACTCAGTGCCTTTCTAGAGCATGTCTTCCGGCCTAAATGAACCCTGAGGTTTGGCCCATTGGCGCTGTGCCTCTTGGTGGCCCAGCTGGCATGGGACAGTCATTGACCAGCAGAAGGCGAGGGCATGAAGCTGTCTCAGGAGGAGACCACAGGTCTTGTAGGCAGATTGGTTAGGGTTGGGACCATGGGGGGGAAGCCAAAAGAGGAGACCCTGGACTTGACAAGGTCAGCAGGGCTGGTGCCGAGTTCCCTATGGTTGCAGATCCAGGGTTGTGCTAGAGGCGGCGAACTTGGGAGCTGATGAAATTGTCCACAAATGTGAACAGGGTGCAGCGGCCAGCCAGGAGTGATGGGCGGAGGAGCCGACCCAGGAAGTGTGGAGGCAGAGCTCGCTGGACTGGAACTGGTTAACAGGGGATAGGAGGAGGAGTGGGGAGGAGGAGTGGGGAGGAGGAGTGGGGAGGAGGAGTGGGGAGGAGGAAGAGTGAAAAGGAGGAGGAATACAGCTTACAGCAGGAAATGACAAGATCTGAGCCACAGCCCGGACCCCTCATTGCAGATGATACAGTTGGATTTTGATGGAGGAGGAGGAAGAGAGAAGAAAGGAGAGAAAGAGAGAGACAGAGAGAGAAAGACAGAGATAGAGACAGAGCAAGAGAGAGAGACAGAAACAGAGACAAAGAGAGAAAGGACACAGTGCGATACTCAGTGGGTAAAGGCACTTGCCACCAAACATGGGTTTGATTCCCAGACCCTGATAAAGGTAGAAAGAGAACCAAGTCCTCTGACATCTACACATGCACCGTGATACACATGTACCAACCTGGCATGGTACACACGCACATGCACGCATGACCACATAGTAAATAAATGTAAAAAAACTTTTTAAAAGACTCTAGTGTTGGCCTGGGAGAGATGGCTCAGAGGTTAAGAGCACTGGCTGCTCTTCCAGAGGTCCTGAGTTCAGTTCCCAGAACCACATGGTGGCTCACAACCATCTGTAATGAGATCTGGTGCCCTCTTCTGGCCTGCAGGATACATGCAGGCAGAACACTGTATACATAATAAATACATATAATCTTAAAAAACAAAAGACTCTAGTGTGAGCTGGGCGGTGGTGGTGCATACCTTCAAACCCAGCACTCGGAAAGCAGAGGTAGGCGGATCTCTGTGAGTATGAGGCCAGCCTGGTCTACAGAGTGAGTTCCAGGACAGCCAGAGCTACATAGTGAGACTGTCTTGTGAGGAAGAAAAAGAGGAGGAGGAGAAGAGAAGAAAAAAAAAAAGAAGGAAGGAAGGAAAGACAGACCGACTCTGGTGAGGGAGACAACAGCAGAATGGAAATGTGTATGTGACCCAGATTGCCTGGGGTCTCTGGGAAGATCGTCTTAAAGCAGAGGAGAAGACTCGGGCAGTGTGAGCACCGAGTCTGAAGCAGAGAGAAGGGACAAAGGCTCAGCCAGGACTGCAGAAGGAGACACTGGGAGAAGCTGGAAGCCAGGCAGAGTGTGTCAGGGCAGGCATCGTTCTTGGGGACGTCACCTGAAAGCACTGTGTGGGTTGGAGGCTGAGACAAGTGGGTAGAAGGGGACAGTTCTTAGGGTGGGACCCGGGCGTGCCTGACGTCCCTGTCCCGGAGGGAAGAGCGATCATTGTCTCAAAATGTCTGAGAAACACAGCAGGCCACGGGGAGGAGGTGGGTCAGGCCATGGGGGACAGCCACAGGGGACAGCCACGGGCAAAACCATCAGGGATGGAAACCTTTAGTCCCTCCCGTGGTATCATTTTTTTTTGTCACTGTGACAAAGAGCTGGGAAAACGAACTTCTCCCCCCCCCCCATTTGTTCTGGGGATTGAACACTGGAAGGGCTCAGCAGCAGGTACCGGGATCTGCTGAGACATCTCACTGGCCCAGAGAGCCAGCTTCTGAAGGAAAGGGATTGTTCTGGCTCATGGTTCCAGAAGCTTCAGCCCGTGGCCATGGACCTGTGGCAAGGCCGCACTTAAGGGAAGAGTTCTTCAAAGGACAAGGGATCTGGAGAGGTGGCCAGAGGTGAGGAGCGATTGTTGCTCTTGTAGAGGACCCGAGTTTGGTTACTGCCCCTACGCGGTGGCTCACCGTCACTGATAACTCTAGTTTCAGGGCGTCAGATGCCCTCTTTGGACTCCCAAGGGTACCAGGCACGTATGTGATACACAGGCATGCGTGTAGACAAAACACTCACACACATAAAATAATACATTTTTTTGGTATTTTTCGAGACAGGGTTTCTCTGTGGCTTTGGAGGCTGTCCTGGAACTCACTCTGTAGACCAGGCTGGCCTCGAACTCACAGAGATCCGCCTGCCTCTGCCTCCCGAGTGCTGGGATTAAAGGCATGCGCCACCAACGCCTGGCAAAATAATACATTTTTAAAAACCTTTTTTTTAAGAGGAGAAGAAAGATCCGAAATCCCCTTCAGGGTATGCTCCAATGACCTAAAGCCGCAGTTGTCAATAGGGTCACATTGTGGAGTCCAAACCTTTGCCACATAGATTTTCTTTTTGTCCTGAGACAGGGTTTCTCTGTGTAGCCCTGACTGTCCTGGAACCTGCC